AGTTGAATGAGAAAAAAACCTATATAAATTTTCTCTTAACGTTAAAATAAATATAATTTAAAGTAAACATTTTAATTTTTAAAACAAAAATCCTTTTGGATCTTATTAGCTATTACGTAGTACGTTTACAACTGTGCCTACATGTGTGCAGTATAAATAAATAAACATTACATTTAATAATGTTTAACAGAGAGCTAAATTGTGTTCTAACATTTACTAAAACAGTATATATACTTTATTATTTTACGGATTTATTTAGACCTATGTATTTTTATAATGAAATAATGAAATCGTGAAATTGTACGTTTTCCTACGTTTGTTCCCACTTAAGGGCTTTTATTTAAAAAATGTAATCAATCATCAAAAATGATCTATTTAAAATACAATTGAGACAACTTGAGCTTTCAGAAAAGTTGCTACACGTAAAAATTGGAGTAGTTTTACTAAACGGATAAGACGTGTCCGTAGACTAGAACAAAGAACAAAAAAGAAAAAAAAAGTAATAATAAACAGCATTTTAAAATCAATAGTTACCTCACTACGCTCGGAATCTAAAAATTGCAGTTAAAAACAAATTTTGAAAGGAGTATTATTAGTCATGCTTTTTTCTCTCGTAGCTAAGGTAACTCAGAAATAAAAAGTTTATTATTATCTATTAGAAAAACGGTCGAGAATTTTAAAATATTTTTAAATTAAACACCACCAGTTAAAGAATCCGTATTTTATAATAGGCGGTGATGTAAACAATAAATTTGGAGCATTTTAGATTTTACTACCCGAGAAAAAAACACATCTTACTAAAGCTAATAGATTCTTTGCTACATTCAGAATTTTAAACTAAACACGCCTATACGATATATTTCCTAATTTACTTTACATGTTAATGTAATATATATGGTTTAATTACTTATGGACACATTAAACCGCACTACGATAAATGATAATACAAATTATTATACAAAACATAGAGTAATTTTAATCAATATTAATTTAGTATTTATCGCGTTCTTCGAACAAGACTGCTATAACTAAACATTTGGCACTTTTGACATATTAATATCAATAGAACCGTAAAAGTATTCTCTAGTAAAATGGTAATCTCTATAACGTTTTTTTATTATTATTATTGACGTCACAGTGTTGTAACGGTATTTAATTAATTTTTTTTTTCGCTCTAATGAAAGAAATACCATCACATTTTAAATATAAATTTATTGTTTTGTGATAAATCATATTTTAATAATATTCTGAAAATATTAAACTGTCATAATAACCATTTATGACGGTATACGGTTATTTTGTTTAGTACTAGTGTAAGTTTTAAGACAGAATTTAAATTCAAATTTAATTCGATTATTTTGTATACTTCTGTTTAGGACTACCGTTTTTTTTTTTTTTTTTAAAATAATGATATGGTTCCAGAGACATACTTAAAAAAATCATTGGAGGAATTTGGGTTTAGTCATTTAATTATGGACTAGAATTAAAAATGGTCAATTTTCTTTAACAAGAATAGTAGTTAAATTATCACTTATAGTAAATTGTTATATAACCATAGAGAAAATTTAAAACGTTTAAAAATATTTAGTCAATCTTTAGATTCTAAGAGAACGAGAAATGTATTGGTTTAACAACGATGTTTATTTTTAAAATCTGCGTGGACGAAGAAGCTTATGGTTTTACAAAAATGTTTATTTTATTCTTCTGCGGATAACTTTTCTACTAGCAATTTTGCTCCAATATATAATGATAAGAATTTTTCTAAAAATAAAATTAGTATAGGAAAGTACTTTTTTTAAATTTTCTCAGGAGTTTTATCATTAAACGAAAAACCGAAAAAACTGTGGAAAAACGGGAAAATGTACAAAATATATAATGAAAATATTACGATTTTTTAATCTGTGAACAACTTTTCTACCAGCAATTTGGCTCTGATTTACAATGATAGCACTTTTTCTAAGAGGAAATCTGACTGGGAAGGTATTTTAGAGGGTTTTTTTTTTTATTTTCTCACTAGTTTTTCCAATAATTGATGAATTCCGGAAAAACTATGGGAAATTAGGTACAATATTACACAAATATTTAAAAAATAGATAAATATTGCCTATGTAATTATTTTACTATAATAAAATATGATATTTATTTTGTTGATAAAGCAACTATTAATTGAATTACGCTCAGAATCGTTTTTCGTTAGCAATAATTCATCTTTGCTAACAAATATACATTAAATTACCTATAACGGTGGCTGCACTCGTCTCCATTATCCTAGAATATTTTCTTCTTTTTTATACTGTGTACGAAAATTCTAACAAAAATCTTGCTCCGATTTTCATGTTTTGTACTTTTCTAAATAAAAATTTCATTTAGTTGGTACTTTAAAGAAGTCATTTTTTTGATTTGCTGAATAGTTTTCATAATAATTTGGGAAACCAGGAACTCTATGGGATAAACGGGAAAATGTATGAAAATGAAGCTTATAAATTTAGTTTTATTTTTTTGTTGTGATATAGTTAATAATATTCATAGACTTTAAATTTGGAAAAAAAATTTATATTCGGCTTTTTTTAACGTGGTAAAGTATTCGAAATATTCTTAAGTTATTTATAGACGTTTTAGTTTTGTTAGTTTTTACGTAATTTGTCTTCGGTAGGTACTCACTTCTTTGTGTATACAATTATTAAATCAAACAAAAATGCTTGAAAATTTAATAAGAGGTTCATAATAAGTCGTACTTTGCAGTAAAAATAAAAAATTTAGTAGAATTGAGATTTTTGTTTTATAAGAATATTAAATGAGTATTTACATGAGATCATAATTATATGGTTCGTTCTCGTACAAAACAGTATGTTTCATTATTTTTAGAGATATACTAGTTTTTTAAAAACATCGGTAACCATCAACGGTGTTTACTAGTTGTGTAATAAAAAGGTTATATCTACTAGTTGGGCTTACCTTATAAAAACATTACCAACTAATTGAAGGCCACTCAATTATTTGTCTACATACTAAATGTGGAATAACATTTTTTTTTTTTTTTTATTATCATATATTCTCATATTTGACTATTTTAAATTTGACTGATTAATATCGTACTCTCATAGGTTAATCTAACTCATACCGAACAATTAGAACATTTTGCAATCGTCAAGGCTGTGTTAAAGATACACAGTTTTTATACGAGTGTTGAAGTTGTTAGAGCTGTAGTTCCGTCGTACTGTAAACAAGTCTGATGTAAAATTGGAGAGCACACCGTAGCACAATGCACTTGAATATATCGGTTTACGAAAACAATAGCTACGTACTAACACACATGATTCTAGTGAATTTAAACTCGTATTGAAGACCTATTAGGTGTTGATCGTTAATCTACCAACCACTTCTTAAAAAGGAAAACCTCAGTGTTGCTAGATTGCACGTTACGATATCAGTCTCATTATTTTATTTACACACCTCATTGTATAGACTTTCAATATTTTCGCTCGACTCATCTTAACAAAATATAATAAAATGGAAAATTACATTTAGAATTTCCGGAAAAAAAAATAATTTTCAAGTTTAACACTCATAAAACGATAGAATAGAATATACAATGGGTATTTTTCGTTATTCCATATACAAATTGCATTGCTATACAATTTCAAAGTTTAGTTTTGATATTGTCTTTCTATACGGAATATCTAATATTTTTCCAATAATTTTATGTTTGACAAATTGTATCAATAACAAATTCTTAAAAAAATTCAAAGATAAAATTAAAAAAAAAATAAAAATAAATTAAAAACAGTTACCAATTGCCATTGGTAACTTATTATTGGCAACCTTTCTATTAAACTTGTTTAACTTAAAGACCCAGTTATTCCTAATTGTCTCGCATATTAATAAGAGTTTCAAAATATGACGTTTATAAAGTACCGATTAGAGCCAGAATCCGTCATGTTTTGTTCGGAGAGCGACATTTCTAGAAGGAATTTTATACTCTGTGTGAAAAATAAAATTAAAAAAAATAACATCATTGTAAAACAAATTAATTTATTATTACAAAATTAGTTATATTATAAATATAAGAAAAAAAATTAACATTGTTTGATGTAAAAAACGACACAGCTATAATATTAATCTGTTGTCGTGCACCGCGAATATTTAAAACTTGCACCGATGAAACCTGTAAATCATAATAAATAGGATAGCAAAATAATGTTCATCGCATAAAATCGGACTTTAATACTAAATCTTGTATAAAATAATATGGAGTACGAAATACCTACAATAGTCGAACAACAAAATATTATTTTCTCATGAAAAACAACGATGTACCGAGTACTCCGTCATAAAAAATCATTGTTTCTTGAGTGCGATATTTANCGGTAATAATGATTACAATAATAATAATTATACTATTATGTAGTAAACAGTGGCCTGCGCAGATGGGGTGTGATTGGGGGCCGTACTCTCTTCCACACCTTGTGGTCTTTCGAATTCAACAACTATGCGTAATATAGTTATTTGTTTAGTATGCCTAATAACTGCACAACTATTACCTATTCGGCTAAGTTAAAAAGGAAAAACTCGACATATCGGTTATCGGAATTCGGTTATTTCTAGATCCGGCCTTGAGATTGACATCATAGAATCGAACAGAGAAGAAGCATTCTGTAAGATTTGTTTACGATTAATATTCACTATTACGTCATCCTCTACCGTAGGAAATTCCTGGACACGCCACTGGTTGTATACAAGTTTATTACCACATAACTACGTCACGATATCGTTTGGTGTTAGCCTCTTCCGTTTCGGTGGGCTGATCGTGTCTGATGATGCTAATTCTGAATACCCTCGTTTAGGTGCCCGCGAAACAATTTCGAAAAAACACGATCGTTTTGTTTTTATAGCCGCGGCCGTTACTATGACGCCACATTCCAATTTTTGACGTTTTATTTTATTTTCAACCTGGTTTGTGAACTCATTCGGTAATTCCCGTTTCAACGGACGCCGTCCCGTCAATGACAATCGACGATGTTCATTAAATCGATGATGGCCTCTTCGTAGTCAAACTTTTTAACCGTATCGTTCGATAATTCAACATCAACATTTCCTAATAAACACAACGGAGTGTTTAATTTTTGTAAAATAACCGATTGGAAATTAACGGGTTACACAAATTGTTTACTAATCACCAAACTGAATGTTAATCTACAAGAAAATGCTTGTACACATGTATTTATCAGTGTGAGATTTATGTAACCGAAATTGATTATAGACGCATGAAAAAAAGCCGTATTTAGTAATACACATAAATCATTTAAATTCTAAATTTTTAACAAAGAATAAATGTATTGTTTTTAGTAGTAATTTTTCTTATCTAATTGTTGAATTAATTCGTGATTATACGATAGAACGATGTACTATTCTGTGGAAGTTTCATTTATAAAATCATCTATGCATTCTTACTAAACTCACCGTTTACATTTAGTGATCCGTGTTCTACCATTGCAACAACAAATTCCATGTAGTTCGACATGATGTTCAACGTTATATTTCTACAAAAATGATCATAATATGTTTTTTATTATAACAGACAGCAAAACTACAGTTTTATCATTATATATATATATATATATATATATATATCTTTTTAATTGAATATGTTTATGGGTGTGACACTGGTGTAAGCGAAAATTCGAGAAGGTAATATACATAAAGTTGTTTAGGTTATATCTGTACGATTGTAAGCGATGTTCGGTTTAACATATTTTTTAATGCCATAATGTTAACGATTTTCGTCAAAGATTGAACTCGGATACCTCAAAGATCGCTTGAATTGTTAACAGTCATTATTTTCAATCAAACTTATCATAAGGTCAGAACATTATCAAATTCTGTTTTTGTGTAGGTATGTATTGGTTTTTTCTCGATATTTTAATTTTTCTCGTCTAATCGTAGGTACCTGTAAATTTTTACTAATTGCGATATTTATTATATGTCCTAGTAATACATCGCTTAGCAAATTAAAATACCGAGAGCGAAACAATCAATTTATAATAACACGGATTATGTTTCGTAACTTCGAGTTTGCTGGCGATTTTGTCAATTCGATGTCTAACGTTAAAACCAACAGCGTAAATCGTCCCGTTGAACTCAAATGCTGTATATTGTACATTTGACGGAGGCGAGTAAAACACCACAAAATGCGGGAAAACATAATATTATCGCGTTCTCTTAAAAGTTAAATATTGATAAAAAAGAAACAAATACTTACGACGGTGGACAATCCGGAACTAATAATACTGTCAATTGACACACAGAAAAAAAAAAAATTATATGAAAATGTTTTATAAATATTAGAAACGTGAGAAAAACCTCTGAAAAATAAATAGTAAATAACGAGTAATTAATTATCATTAATTAATGGTCAACGTATTAGAAAGTACGCGAAAACAAATTGTATGTATAGAAAAAACTATATGTTCCAAGAAATCGTAAATGCGTACAATGAANGTATAAAAATGTTTTATAAATATTAGAAACGTGAGAAAAACCTCTGAAAAATAAATAATAAACAACGAGTAATGATTAACATCAATTAATGGTCAACGTAATGGAAAGTACGCGAAAATAAATTGTATGTATAGAAAAAACTATATGTGCCAAGAAATCGTAAATGCGTACAATGAAGAATATCAAGATTTGCAAATCGCTGTATACAAATTTTCCGCGTTAGGTACCCGTGGCGACCGAATAAATGATATTGTTTTAAATATCGAATGTTTGACCGGCGTGCCGTAATACAATATTCGATTTTTATGTACGCATAATAATATGACTTACAGTTTTACAGTTATATTGGACTTTTTCGAAATCCAAAAGAGAAATTGTAACTTTTTTCCGTTAAATGATACAGAATAAACGGTATAAAATAATTTTGGGTTTATTATTATTTTATTTCAATCGACCGAGATAAAATACCAGATAAGGTCAAACTGCATTCCGATCAAACACAAGTAATCGCCGAACTCCACTAGGGTCAACAAGGGGATTTCGACAAAATACTCTTAATTCGAAAATTTTTTAAACATTTATTTCTCTTCCAACTAAAAATATTTGCAATTTTGATTACATTTTAGTCGAAAATGTTATTTAAAATCAATTATTTTCCGTATGAACGTGTAATGTGAGCATAAAAATAATTTGGGAAGAAATCAATGTTAAAAACCTCGAAAAGCACATTGTTGATACTTACGAGGTCTGGCTATTAAAAAACGAGACTGCTTATGAAAAATGGTTTTATTTTAAAAATTATTCCACAACCAAATGTTCCCCTTTAATATACTCTCCTACCCTTTTCGCACACCGTTTCATTTGTTTCTTCCATTGCTCGAGGCAGTGCTGAAAGTCTGTTTTCGTAAGACCATTCAGGAGTTCGGCCGATTTTTGTTTCAGCTCTTCCATCGACTCAAACCGCATTCCTTTTAAGGCAGACTTTATCTTCGGAAACAAGTAAAGGTCGCAGGGTGCCAAGTCGGGTGAGTAAGACGCGTGTTCGAGTACTGGAGTGCCTTAAGCGGCCAAATAACGCTTCACGCGTTATCCTGGTGCAAGATGTTGTTTTCTTGTTGATCTTGTTTTTCCACAGTATCGACCGTACTGATTCTTTTCCAGTAGCATACACCGATATAATAGGCTACTAAGTAAATTAACATCCTCGAAAAAAATATCCGAGGATAAGTTAACTTGTAGGAAAATTCTAAGGAAGTGAACATATTTGGAATGCAATTTATTGCCGATAAATATTTCTTGATAAAACGTCAATTACAATGACCAAGGGTTAATGTTACCACCGCAATTGAATTTTATTCAGTTGGAAATAATATGCTGTTAAGTCTCCGGTAAAAATGCACTGGATTTGGTAAATATTTTCTTGGCTAATCTTATCTCCCGGTAAAATTTCACCGAGGTAGGTAAATATATCCTAATTACACGTATAATAAACTTGCTTTGTGTGGGGTTAATGTATACTTGGTTAATTTTAACTCCGCGGTAAAATTTCAAAGATGTGAGTAATTATCTCCTATGTTATTCTTAGGTCCCCTGAAAATGCACTGATTCACGTAAATATATACTTATTTTTTCATACGCTCCCGTTTATCTACCTAATTTTTTTGTCTTTTTTATTGTTGTAGATATTTTAAAATGATATATAACGAATTTTATTCTTTTTAACAATCATAGTACGTATATTATTTTATACATTTTATAGTTTGTTGAAAATGCCTTTTGCTTAGTAACAATAAAATAAATACAATTAAATAGTTGCCTTTTGTTTATTTTTAACTAATCAGATTTACTTAGCTACTATTTAACCATATTTATATTTATAATAATGATAATCATTAACAGTTATATTATTATACACACAAATAAAAATTAACTATACGTAATTATTACTTGTGTTTTCGTTAATCTTGTACACGAACAAAATTATTAAGCATTTTCAAAATTTAATTTTAGAAGATTAATATGTATGCAATATCAATATATTACTCCCATAATATTTAGTTGTATTTTAATTTACATCTATTACAACTTTATACTGATTCCTATTAACATTTCTTCTCTATAAACAGTTCTCTGTTTGTTATTACATAAGTAAAATATGTATAGTAGTATTATGCATATATTAGTTTATATTAGTAAACATTTATAAAACATCACAATTCACATAAATATGAGTGTTTAGTGTTAATGTGGTAGCATAAATTTCGACCTCAGTGGCTCAAGTACAAGATATTTTTATTTGGTTCATATCTGAATAGTTTTTCAAATATTTCAATATTTATAAATGTACTTGACTGTTAGTCATTAAAAACTGAAAAAAAAGAACTGATACTGGGGTCGGATGCAGCCACTGTTGTAGATAGATAGTTGGGAAGGTGGGATACATAAAAATATTAATTTATACCTGTAAAAAACAATAAACTATTGCTAATGAAAAACGATTTGAAATGAAGTTTGCTTAAACATGTTTTGAAATTCCGTAATATACATATTTTACGATTTCAGTCAAAATTTGATATTAAAATTCTTATAAAAAAAAAAAAAAAATCACACAAATTATATTACACTTAATTTTTTTTTATTTTTTCTACAAGTACGACTTCTAATGAAACTCACATTTTGTCTGAAATTTTCAAGCATTTCTGTTTATTCTAACAATTTTATCCACAGAGTATCTACCGAATAAAAATTACGAAAAAAACTCGAAAAATTAAAATTTTATAAACAGCTTAAAACTGGCTCAAATGTTTTGAAAGTTTTACCGTGTCAAAAAAAAAAATATATGTTTTTTTGAATACGTTTTGATTCCCAAAAAATATTTTTAACTGAATTACAATGAAAAAAAAAAATTAAATAATAAAAGAATGATTTTTATAAATTTTCTAGTCCTTTCTACATATTTTATTATTTTATATTTTAATTATTTTTAAAAAAAAAACCTAACAACTTCCTTGGTAACCAACTAGATTAAAAATTAAACATTAAAAAAATTGTCTTGTTATTTTTCTGTTGGAGCAATATTTTTGGCAGAAAACATAAGCTGTACAAATTAAAAATAAAGAAAATCTGGTAAACGGAAAATCGGTACGGTTAATTGTGTTTTGAAGAAAAGAAATGTAATAGGTGGAATATTGATACTATATAATATTTTGTCAGTGTTTCAAAAAATATATCCAAAATTAAATTAAATATATTATAAATTCGTAATACACACATTTTCACTTGTTCGATATTTAAATAGTTAATATACTGAAATAAAATTAATGATTTCACCTTAAATAATGTAATACTCTGTATAAATTATTATTCATTTAAAACTTACTACGAGTAGTTTAATTAAATTCATTATATTTTTTCTCGGACATCTACTAATATTTTTTTTTTTCTTAAATTTACATACGAATCTTTTTGTGCAGTATTTTTTCATTTTCTTTTTCAGTTTTAAAACTTTTAATTATAATTTAAGAAACTCTGATTTTTAACGACCATACCAATATTCCAAATATTAAATTCTGAATGAAGCTAAGAAGCTTATGGTTTTTACCAATATTCAAGACTTTTCTACTAAAAATCTTGTTCCGATTTTTAAGTGTAGCACATTTTCTGTAATTAAATCGGACGGGAGAGGTACTTTAAGGAGCTCATTTTTGATTTTCTCATGAGTTTTCTCAACAAATAGGAAAACCGGGAAAACAGCGTAGGAAAAACTGTACAATATGAGACAAATATTATTGAAGCAAATATAATGACTTTGTAATTAATTTACCAAAATTTGACATGTATATTGTTGATAAAGCAACACTATCAACTCTACTCAGAATCGTTTTTTTTTTCTTTTGCAGTGGTTTATCATTGCTAACAAATATGCATTAAATGTCTCTTCTAATACCTTCTCAACTTCTCATCTAAAACATTGGCTGCACCTATGTGCTAATTTGCCCGGTTTTTTTAAACTAATACTTATGCATTTCGTAAATTTCCCCGTTTTTACTCAATTCTTTTTCTAGTTTTTCCAATATACTGAAAAAACGATTGAAAATCAAAATATGACTTCCATAATATATCTCCCTAGTAAAATCTTCTAAAAAAAAAGTGTCACACTTGTAAATCGAAGAAATAGTAAATAAAAATGATGAAAAATATTTCTGGCGAAACAATTATTTATAGATAAAAAAAAATAATCAAATAAACATAATTTTAATTATTGTACAACTCTAAGCTTTTTAACTCCACTTAAAATGTAATAATAAAATCGGTAACACCACCGCGTGCCTTACATATTTATCGTTTAACCTATAATTGTCTTTATGGTTTTCCTTAATTATTTTTACAACCCCTTAGAAAATCAATAGAAGACCTGCTTTATGTACCGACTAGACAAAATTACCTTTCAGAAAAGAGGCTATACTTGATATTTAGGAGCAATTATCGAGATTGCTGAATGAATCAATGCTCACAGACACATAAACAAAAAAAATCAAATATCGTACTAAAACAAATAGATCCTTCCCTACGCCACTACGTCTAAAAAAATACTTATATTTATAATTACAGGGTTATTCGTTTATCGTTTAAACACTCATTATTTTACAATGAATTAACTTTTTTCAACAACAAACTCATTGACAATTTAAAAAACAATTAGCTCTAAATTATTATATTACCGTTATTTTTGTCACTCTCACTTTTGGAAGTGAAATGACAGCTAACTTTTGATTTTAAAATAGTAACATTAAAAACTCCATTAAGAGATGGGTTATTAGTTTGAATCAATTTTGGTGTTGGAATTTTTGATCTCCATGAACTCGTTCCTGAGATATTCCATTTTTAATTTTAGGTAAGTAGAAAGAAGTGGAGCACTATTCAAATGCCGCGCGCCGTGTCTTCACACATTTTAATATTATTTCTTCAATACGTACGGATTATGAAAACGTATGGCGATATTAAGATATCTTACAAATAGTTTAAGCACTAATATATGTTTTTGTATCGATAGACACATTATCATGTTCCGTTTTGTAACGTTTTTCAAACGTGATACAATTTTCTAATACAAGCTCAAATACTAAAACATTGGGCATTGGGCATATGAGCATGTATTTTTATCGGTAATTGAATGAATATTCAAAGGCCCTATCCAAGACATTAGTAACCATCTGCTTTTCTTATCGTTTCTTCTTAAATTTTTTTAAACGATTGTACCACCAGGTTTAAATACAGGATCTGATTTGGAATTTTGATTTACATACGACAATAATAGAATATCGAAAATAATAAAACCACATATTCCCGGGTTTTCCAATTATTAGGAAAACTACATATTTATGTTATTATGTTATTTGTTTTAATTTTAATTTTCAAAACATTTCAGCATTATTGTATAATTTTTTTTTCTGTGAATACCTTTTACCAGAAAGCCTACTCCGATGTATACAACGTAGAACCTTTTTTAAAATTTTTTTGGGGTACTACATTAGGGAGATCATTTTTAAATTTCCAGGGAAGGGGGTGGCAGTGACTCTTGCGGACAATACCTGTATTATTTTTTAATTCCTTGAACCTCGGTTTCCTAACAATCTTTACAACAAATGTATTTTTATTGTTTTTTCAATACGAAATTTTTTTGTTGTAAAATATCAGTGAATGATAAGACATGTTCCATATAATATTATATTATTTTATTATTAATGAATCTCGCTTTAGATCAAAATATACACGGGCTAACGAACATAGATAATATATACATGTATATAATATATATTATTATCTATTGACATAATATAACATATTACTTATATTATGTCAATGATAATATCAATGCTACGAGACTGCTATCATTTATTTATTATCTATGTTTGTAACTAGATCCTGATAAGGTGATTTGGGCCAAAATGTTATAACATCCAGATGGTACTTTTAGGAGGTCATTTTTTGATTTTCCAAGCAGTTATCATAATGTCTGGGAAAAACTAGGAACAAACGTAAGAACAACGGGAAATTTATGAAAATAATGCTTTTATTATTTTTTATTTTTGTGATTTTTGTAATTCAATTAAAAATATTCGTAGAGCCTTGAAATTTGGACAGAAAACTAATATTTGCTTTTTCTAGACGTGATAAAATATTTAAATAATTTAAGCCATTTTTGAGCCATTTATAGACAACACAGGAAAAACGGGAAAATCAGTACAATGTTAAAACAGTTTTTTTGCCTTTTCTAAACGAGGTAAAATTTTCAAACCATTTGAGCTATTTTTAGGTTTTTTAATACAAATTTCAATATTTTTGTTGAAATTTAGTTAAAATTATTCGTATCGACTCGATGGACATAAAAATTTTTGCAAAAAACTTTAAAGCCTTTAAAGCCAAAATTTAAGCCTTTTTTGATACATTTATAGATGTTTTAACTTTGCGAGTTTTGTACGTTTGCATTTCTTTTCCTTTTTAGCTAAACAAGGAAAAAACAAATATATTTTGGATGTACCTGGAAACTCAAGCAACTGCTCCCTAGGACTATTTTAATCGCAAAATACCCCTCAATTTACATAATTTTGGGTATATGTAATAATTATACATGATAACATCTAGTTTACGATTAATAAAATTGTTTTGAAAAAACATTTTGTAGTCAATATATCAATACACATTAAATCATTTATTGAGTGAATTAAATAGTTTTAATAATGCAAAATCTCACAAAGAGAAATACAACGTGATTGCGACCAAACTTTTTATCGGACTTTAAACACGGCCTTACTTTGTAAGTGATATTTTTAGGGATTATTAATTTATTTTATTTTATAACAAAACTAAAAAACTAAATCATTTTTGTTGTTACTTTTTTTTTTTTTTGACACAATCTAGATTATGGACTCGCTGTTCAACAAATTGTACATATTTCGGAAAAATAATATTTAGAATCAAAATTATTTGTTTTAATTTCAAACTTTGCAGAGGAATTTAAACGTGATGTCTTGACTCGTACACAATTAGAAAACTTAAATCAGGTGTAATAAAAAAAATAATACCTAAGTAACTGAGTATGTAGGTACCTATTAAATTATAGATTCTGAGTAGAGTGAAGATGTTTATTTTTTTTTATCCGTGCGCGATTTTTCCACTAGAAGAGTAGCTCAAATTAAAACGGACAAAGCTCAATAGTAAAAAGACAATAAAAGGATTATTTTAAGTTACAATAAACTGAAAAAAAAAAAAAGAAATAGTAATTTTTTATTACTCAGTATCACAAATCAATATTTAGATATAAGTTTAATATTAACGCTAAAGGTGAAAAGAAGAAATCCGGATTCGTTGAAAATGTATTATATAAAGCCAGAGTTCTCCGAATAGGAAAGTATTTTAAGTAATTTGTGCTATGTATTAGTATATAAAAAAGAGACGTTGAACGATTACTGTAAACTAAGATGTTAAAAGGGATATAGTAAGTCAAATGCATCAATTAAACCGGTGTGTAATTTATAAATGAAGAAAATATCCTATAGATCACGTCTAGAAGCAAGAGTTGAATGTCTAGAAAGGACCTAACTTGTGTATAATCATGGTTATTGATAGTTATATTGAATTTAAAAGCAATAAATCTCAAAAAACGGTTTTGGATGCGCTCAATAAAATTAAAGTCGAATTTTGAATACGGACTTCAAATGGGCGAACCGTGTTCTAAAATTGATGTAACCAAAGCACAATAAAGAAGATTAAATGAACGCAAATCTTCAAAATCCGATGAGTGACGCTTCACAAAACTAAACACACGAAACGATTTTTTTACAATACACTCAATGTGCGCCCAAAAATTTAAATTGTGGGTTAAAGTTATTCCTAAGTCTTTAATTGAAGTAATTGAATCGATTTTAACGTTATTTATAAAATACGTATGACAAATATTACTACGGTATCTATAAAAACACGTTGAGAATAATTTGATAGTATTAACACTCGTTCCTCAATTACAGCACCAGGCAGATAAGATATTTAGTTCCTCTTCTAAAATTAAACTGTTGTCTATTGATGAAACTCGAATGAAGATTATTAAAATCGTCTGCAAAAAAAAGAAAATAATATTTATTAAGGACCGATGAAATACTATTGATAAACAAAATAAATAAAATAGCTTATAGGAATAGGCACTGTACTCGAATAGAAACCATGGACATAGAAATTTTAATTTTGCGAGCTTTGTACGTAATTTTTATTATGTTAGGTTAGGTTTGCATATCAATTTTAAATATTCATCGAAATCAAAACATTCATAAGAAAATACTATTAATCAAATTGAATGCAAAATGCTGCTTAAAATAAAAATATTTTGAAATTGGTTATCTAACTTTTATAAATAAGGTATTACTGTTATTATTACTATTTTTGTTATTTAATTAGTATTATTTTTATTTTTATTTATTTAATATGAAAAAAAATACATTGAAATTCTAAATTGTACTGATATAAAAGTTTTAAATTTTTTTTTACCAAAGCAGTGGTATTCAAGAGTAAAAATTATTCACCTCCTTCCCATCCATGGAATTGACCCGAATTGAGCAATAATATTTACCGAGCTTCACTCAGAATAGATTTTCGTTGAAAATAAATGAAATTTGCAGTTCATCGCGTAACATGAATGATTTTGTCCGGCTGGAAGTTTATGGACATTTAAAAAATAATAACAACATGGAAGTAAATAAATAATTTACATTAAAACACATAAAACACATATTTGTATTATAATAAATATGAGAAATACCACTATTACGGATAGTACAGCAACAAGTTTAAGTTTTTTTTTAACTTTTCGTTGAATATCCCAGTAATTTCTGAATTAGTGGCTTACAATAGTCACTACAATGCAAATTTTAAGAATATAATCTTTCTCTAAATAGTAAATTACACAAATTGTTTTCGCCGCGATTCGGGACAGAAATAAATAAATATTCACGGTCACAGTAGGAATCGCTGGCTCATACACACATCACCTAATCATATTTTGTTTGTACAATCGTTGCAATTATAATGGAATATTTTGTGTGTATATTATTATAAAATCGAATAATATGTTTAGTATATAGGGAACACTTATCATACGCCGTTGTAACGACTGCGTCAATAATTTTAGCACGGACGCCGGAGTTGTTACTGACGTCGATTCGCACTCGCTTCGAACTCGTTCGGATAATTTAACCCAGTCCTCCGATCCACTTACCTTTTAGGGAAACCCGTGTAACATAAACCTTTTATCAGATGTCTAAAATCCCTTAATTCATATTACGAGTCAATGGATTTATAGGTACAACAAAAAAATAAAAAAAAAAACAATGATAATAATCAGATATATTTGATCTAAAAACAAAATTAAAATAAAATAGAATCTGCTTACACCTTATTTTCCATCGTACAATCGTTTGAATATATTTTTTTTATGTGGTGGTTCAAACGGATAATAAACCCCATTTTTCAAAAACTAACGGTTTACCCGCGAATGCATAAGTTTCAAACGAACACTCATTTGTACCTCTGACAATTTTAAATAACCCGTTTTCCCCCCAGTATTTACTCCACGAATTGACACATAACCAGTACTTTAAGTTATTTTCTTCACCCCAACCGATTACCTTAACACCATACGGCATCTGAAGATTTTCCGTATACACCTAATAATAAAATAAAATTTTGCAATAATATCAAAAAAAAAAATATTTATATCCAAAAGTTACCGTATCTGTAACAAGAGAGTTCTTTGTGTAAATGAATAATAACTTGAATTGGTTCATACAACAAAATATTCTTTTGCATATTTTCATAGCTGAGAGAATATGCATCTTTAGCTGAAAACGCAAAATATAGCATAAATAATAACGATGATAATAAAATAAATGAAAGATTGGGAAGATATAATACAAACAGTTATTTAAGTAATAAATGAGGGTAAGGATAATGGTTAATTTGGATTTTAGGATTACGTTGACGCGATATAATTTTCTGTACGAATTCGCTAAATGATTTCCTGAATAATGTTTTTACCTAAATATGTATAATGCGTGTAATATTATTCAGTTAGGGATGTATATTAGTTGAACCTTCTCATGACACAGGAAGGTGTTGATTCATAATGACCAAATTTAATGTAATTATTTAATTATAATAATGAACAAAAAAAAAAAGTGAGAAATCAAAAATCTTAATATCAATTTTTTTGTGGAGCTAAATTTTGTATAAAATAAATTATGAAAAAGTAAATACGTTCCGAGATAATGAGCGTATTTACTTACAACTGGATTTCCTTGTGTAATGTATATAGATATGATGCACATTTTTTTTTATTTATTAACCTTTGTGAACTTCTGTCTGAATTCAATTTTTACATTGCTTATAAAATAATTTTCTATTATAAACTATAGCATTAAAGCGCAAGAATTAATTTTGCAGTATAGTTATTTCATCGTTTTTTTTTTTTTTTTAGATTTATTAAATATAAATAAATTCTTTATCACATTTTAACAAATTTTAGAACTTAATCTTAATTGATATCCAAACGAAAACGGCAAAGTCGTGTTTATTCATTGAAAATTATACTAAATTCAAAAAATAATAACAATTTTCATAATTATGACGAGTACATATCTTATATTATGATAATTTTACATGCATATTATTTCACATATTTAGAAAATTGTACTATAACCTTGCAATTTTTTTTAACTTGATTAATTTTCTTTCCGTCATCTTTACGATAAAAGGTAATTTTCTTCATCAAATCCTAAAAAAAATCAACGTGCATACTCATTAAAGATTTACACTTCATCCGACGAAGTTTATATACGAAATATTGAAAGAGCAGGATATTTCCGTATTTTTTATACTTGTTATTGGTCTTAGGCCTTGCAATTGTGATGAAATTTTGGGTTGGGACGTAATATTTATTTAGCTTATATTTCTATTATGGATGTGTATAATGTATATAACCGTTTTAGTATATTGATCGTAACAGTATTTTTGATAATATTAATATTACTGTTACATTAAGTGTAGAATCTAGGACAATTGTTGGTGGAAAATATTTTGTGCAACAATATTGTTCACCCTTTAATTTTTCGAATACAATAATATTATTTATATACATTTTATTACAAATAGAATATTCGATATTCATAAACAATAATTTTCATTGCAAAAATGATGATTTTATGATTATAGAAATTGTGTAAATTTATGATATGAGAATATAATTTAAGTGGCACAATTTCTCTATAAAAAAATTACAAGGCTATTTTACAATTTAATACAGCTGGTTTCAAAAAAAATACAAATATATTTATCAACTCGCTACAAACATAACATAATATATTAATTATATATTTAAACGAAAATTAATTAGTTGTAAGACAAAGCTTATTATTTAAAATTATTTTGCTAAAAAATAATGACAAAGGAGCTGATACTGAGGAAAGGTGCGACCACTTTTGTAGATGGGCAGTTAGGAAGGCGGGATTCATCGATTAATTTTTCTGTGACTAATGAAAAACCATTGATAATGAAAAACTTTTCGGTTTGAAATTCGATTTTACATTTTTTAAAGTACTGTAATATTTTTACTACAAATATTATATGTTTATATAGGCATCTTGACATTAATTAATATTAAAATATTCAGATCAGGACGTTAAAATACATTAAATATCTCCTTTAATAATATTTGATTATTATTGTACATGTTATCCTGTTTTTCCTTCTATTTTCTTGGATTTTCTTATTTGTTAAAAAAACCCCTTAGAAAATCAAAAAATTAATTCTTTAAGTATCTCCCAAGTACGATTTGCTTTCAGAAGAGTAGCTACACTTACATATATTAAAGAATGATTTCTGTTATAAAAGTTGTCCACAGAAAAAAAACATAAACATCATTAACAACCATACATTTTTTCACTCCACACAAAATTTAAAAAAGTACAAAATGCTGTTTATAGTTTTTGTTTTCCTAATTCGAGTACGATCGCAATGGGTAAAATAAACAATATTTTCCAATGGAATATTCTACATAATTAATACAATTAGGTACTAATTTAATATTAACAGATTACTTTCCAATAACTTTCCAATAATTAGAAAGAAACATGGAGATAAGAAGACCAAAGCAAGAAGTAGTTGGATGCTATTGAGAATAATATGAAAATGGCAGGTGTATTTGAGAACGATGAAAAGGATCGGCTGGAGTGGAAATAAGGATTAGGGTTGTTGACACCAAATAGTTGGAATGAAGGTGATAGAAAAGAAGGAGGGGAAGAAGATTACTGAAATTGTTTAAAATTCAGTAAATTTCTTACCGTTGGGTATTCTAAAAAAAACACAAACAAACATAAGCGAAATTAAAGATGGCTGACGGTTGTAAATAAACGATTAAGACATTTTTATAATTGAATACGCTATTTACCTTTTTACAGTGCATTAAACATTACGTAAGATAATGTCTATCACGGAAAATATTATATTATGAGCTAGGATGGTGATTTTTAACTAAGGCCAATGATCTTTTATTAATAGTTTTTTCCTATTTCTTTATTTCGCATATTATAAATTTAAGGACGAGCTAATTTATTAACACGAATTTATAAATATTTCTAAAATAAGAAGATAATATTTAAAATAGATGATTGTTCAGACGAGTGTGAACTGTTGGAAGATTAGAAAATATGATACATACAGTTATTTAGTTTCTTTATAAAAGCAACAATAAACCATTTAAAAAAAAATAATCCCAACGATGTTCGCTATATCATGTAATGAAAGACAATAATATTTATGGATTTCGAAAAACGTAAGAATTAAAGCCTTTTTTTAAAAAAAAAACGTAAATACACTTACTTTTAACACGAATATGACTTCTAAAGAACCTCGAATTTGGTGAAATTTTCAATATTGTCCATTAATTTTATCTACACAGTACGTACCGAATAGAGGGTACGCAAAGCTGGAATATTTGAAAATTTTAGGACCTCTAGAGAACATAAGTATACGTTTTTCTCACAAAATTTCAATTCTTTACAAATATTATAAATTGAATACCTGGGTGTCCCTATGGTAGGGGAGTTGACGAAAAACCGAAAAAATCGGGAGAAGAACGAGAAAGACATAACACGTAAGGAAAACGGGAAATTCACGAATATAACGCTTTTAGTATTTGTAATTTTGTATTTCGTTGTAAGTCAGTTAAATATATTCTTAGAGACAGAACCTCTGCTTTAATTAAAAATATTCGTACTTGGTTATTTAACTTTTTTTAACTAGGTATTATCACTATTTTTTTTTTTTGCTATTGCGTTTGCCAAAAATTAAATTATTATTTATTTAATTTATAAAATTAATTTCTATATTGTACTGTTTAAATGCATTTGTACATTATATTTGCTGTCTTCTAGCTTATGTAAGTTGAAATGACTTCAGACCTATAGGTTTGATGTTTTCTTTGATCAAAGCGGTGGTATTCAAGTGTAAAAATTATTCAACCCACCCACCCATTGAATTGATCAAAAAATGCTACTGAGAACTAAAATTTACCGAGCATCGCTCAGAATAATTTTTCATTGGCAATGTTTAAATTTGTAGTTTATTAAGTGATATTAATTATTTTGACCAGCTGAAAATTCGGCGACGTTTCAAGCATATTAGTTACATGAGTGTAAATAAATGATTTTTTAAAACAGTCTTAACAAAAAATACGTATCTGTTTTATAATAAATGTGAATATTACCACTTTTACGGATAGTAAAGCAACAATTTTTAGTTTTTTTAAACTTTTCGTTAAGTAACACAGTATTTTCTGAATATGTGGTTAAATATCCCTGTACAATAGTCACAACTATGAAAATTTTGAGAATATATTCTTTCTAAATAATTAGTTACACATATTATTGCTGCTGCAACTCGAGACAGAAATAAAAAAATATTCGCAGTCACGGTAGAGACCGCTGGCTCATACACACATCACCTAATGTTATTTTGTTTGTACTATCGTTGTAAATATAATGGAATGTTTTGTGTGTGTATTATAATAACATCAAATAATATGTTTATTAGGGAACGCTTATTGTACGTCGTCAATAATTTTAACACGGTCGCCGGAGTTGTTACAGCCGTCGATTCGCATTCGATTCGAACACGTCCAGATGATTCAACCCACTCTTCCGGTCCACTTACTTTTTAAAAAAATCCGTAAGACATAAACCTTTTATCAGAAGTCTAGAATCCCTTATTTCATATTACGAGTCAATGGATTTATAGGTACAATAAAAAAATAAAAAAACCTGACAATGGTGAAAATCAGATATATTTGATCTGAAAACAAAATTATAATAACATAGAACATGCATATTTTTAATCGTACATTCGTTTTTTCTTATTTTTTTTTTTGTTTGATTTGGATCTCATGGGTAATAAACACCATTTTTTTGAAAAACTAACGGTGTACCTGCATATGCAGAAGTTTCAATCGAACACTCGTTTGTACCTCTGACAATTCTAAATAACCCGTTGTCCCCCCAGTATTTACTCCACGAATTGACACATAACCAGTACTTTACGTTATTTTCTTCACCCCAACCGATTATTTTAACACTATGTGAACCGTAATATTTGGCACCTGAAGATTTTCGGTATATACCTAATATTAAAATGAAATGTTGTAATAATATCAAAAAGAGGATATTTATTTCTTAAAGTTACCGCATCCATAATAAGCGAGATCATTGTATACATAAATAAATACTTGAATTGGTCCATACAACAAAATATCCTTTTGAATATTTGCATAGCTGAGGTAATATGCATCTTTAGCTGGAAACGCAAAAAACCGTAAAGATAAATAATAATGATGATAATAAAATAAATGGAAGATCGGGGAGACTTTATACATAAAATTATTTAATTAATAAATGAAGGTAAATGAATAACGAAAAACGATTCTGCGCAAATTCCATTTGTACATATATAGTACTGCTTAGTACATAACAAATAAAGACAACATAGAAAACACACCAATATAATAAATACTTATAATTAACTCAACATTCCTCATGATTTGGAATTTCCTATGATAATGAGGTCGGGTGCACCCATTGTTCTAGGTAATTTAATGTACAATTGTAACTAACGTTAAACAATTGCTAACGAAAAAAAATAATTCTGAGCGGAGTTCAGTCGACAGTTGCTGCATTGTCAATAATATATATGTCAGATTATGGTAAAAACCATTCTAATTATGCCAATTCCGAAATTAAATCCATAGTGTATTTCTTACGATTTTCCCGGTTTTTCTAGTTTTTCTCACTTCCTGGTAGAAATCTTGAGAAAATCTAAAAATGAATTTCCAAAAGTACCTTCCCAATAAGATTTTCTATTAAAGAAACTGCTATAATTATAAGTTTAAGCGAAATTTTTGTTAATAAATTTATCCAAAAAAAATATAATAAATATAAACATCAATGTACAACTATAAGCTACTTTGCTCCATCTATAATTTAATATAAAAAAGAACTTATTTTATTATTTCTCCGTTTTTCCTTCTATTCTACTTAATTATTAAAAAAAAGTTACAGAAAATAAGAAAAAAAAAATTCCTCATGCACTGCCGAAATCAGAGTTTCATTCCAAAAAAAAAAAAAAAATATTTTTTCTCAAAAAAAGACACAGGATGATATTTATAACGAAGAAATCGAGTAAATTTCAATTAAAAATGATCGAATAATTTAGACAGGACTTTTCATTTAAATTTCTTCTGTTTTTTTGCCAATTTTTCATGAAAACTGTTTAGAAAATAATCATCGACCTTTTCTATAAACCAACTAGAAACCTAAATCAACAAATACAACAAGATAAATTGTTTTGTCATGTTTTTCTATTGATTTGCTATTTAGGGGTACACGTTCACACCGACAAAAAGTAAAATAAAACGTCTTTCTAATAAAATACGAGATGTGGCTATTAAACAATGAGACTGGTTACGAAAAAGTGTTTTATTATAAAAGTTATTCAACATTCAAATGCTCCCCTTCAATATACTCCCCTCCCCTCGCCACACACCGTTTCATTCGTTTCTTCCATTGTTCGAGGCAGTGCTGGAAGTCTGTTTTCGTAAGTCCATTATGGAGTTCCGCCGATTTTTGTTTCACCTCTTCCATCGACTCAAACCGGATTCCTTTTAAGGCAGACTTTATCTTCGGAAACAAGTAAAAGTCGCAGGGAGCCAAGTCGGGTAAGTAAGTTCGTCGAGTACTGGAGTGCCTTAAGTGACCAAATAACGCTCCAGGCTTTATCCTGGTGCCAGTTCCACGACTTGTTTTTCTACAATATCGACCGTTTCTTACGAACTCATTCGCGCAATGTTGCTAAAACTGTCAAATAGTAATGTTGGTTCACAGTTTGACCCTTTGGAACCCATTTAGTCATCACGATGCCGTTGATANGCCACTCAAAAACACGCGCCCGAGATAGGAAATCCTCACTATAGGCCTCTTTTAACAACTTATAGCACTCAGTTGGAGTTTTTTTTAGTTTAACGAGAAAATTTTACGTTTATCCGTTGCTCATGTTTTTCGGCACGAGAAAAAAACACGATCGTTTCAAACCACTACTGCACAAATACTATAATAGCGACGAAAACGTGTTTTGGTATGTGCATAGATAGGATATCTAGATATCCAACGCAATACTCGATTTTTTCACTACTTATATAGGGCGCCCTCTAGGCGATCAGTCTTGTTATTTAATAGCCACGCCTCGAATATATCTTGCTAAAACGTGAATCTCAAAGAGAAAAACGATACCTATTTTTTGATTATCATACAAGAAATGACAAATTAGTGGATATATANAGTAAATATGATATTGATAATATAATATTTTATTGCCTAACTAACCTAACCTTACCTTTCCAATGATCTTTTTCAAAATCAATTGACGGATTTCCGTAACAACCTTTGATACATTCGTGATTGGTTTTTTGTCGCCCTGCACATATATTTTTTCCCATGTCGTCGAAACAAGGCATTACTTTATACGGTTGACATCCCTATCGAAGTTGTACGATTTTTAATAATTTATCATATAATTGAGTATTTACGATAAAGAATATCATAATAGTTTTGAATTATTCTATTTACATCGGTTGTATTAAAATTTCCTCCGGTTACAACACCGTGATCCATTAAATGTCGCCAAGCAGTGAAATGACGACAGCCTTTCATACATCCATGATCAGGACAACCTTCACAGCAAAATGNAACAAGGCATTACTTTATACGGTTGACATCCCTATCGAAATTGTACGATTTAAAATTATCTATAATTTACTCAAGTATTTATGATTAGAATATCATAATAATTGTGAATTATTTAATTTACATCGGTTGTATTGTAATTTCCTCCCGTGACAACACCGTGATCTATTAAATGTTGCCAAGCAGTGAAATTACTACAGCCCAATATGCATCCACTTTCAATACAACCTTCACAGCAAAATGTCAACTGTTCAATTGATAGGTGTTTGTTAATTTGACCCTTTGTCGCTATACATAATCGATCTGAAAATACTCCAATAGTAGCAAGAGCCTGGGATTTAAAAACAATAATAAATATTTATACTATAAGACGTATAAATATCGCAAAAACAACGTTATTATTAATCACCCAGCAATTTCCGCACATCCCTTGGTCTAAGATTTCCCCAATTATAGTACAGTTACTCCAGTGTTTTCTTGCATCGAACGATAGTGTGATATTGTCATCATTTACATAAAGTGGATCGTAATTTTTAAATCTCATATGGCTACGATTTTTGCCAAATGTGAATTGAAGAGTACATGTAGGAGACAATAATGTCTGTACGAATTGGCTAAATGATTTCTTGGATAACATATTGACCTAAATACGTATGCATACAACATTATTCAATTAGGGATATACGTAAATTTAACCTATTCTTGACACCAGAAGGTGTTGATTTCTTATGACCAAATTTGAAGTTATTACTTTCTTAAAATAATAAACACAAAGAAAGGGTGAGAAATTAAAAATCTTAATCTTCTTTTGCAATAAATATGGACCCAATGTACACAAATTATTTCGGATAGTATTAACTTTTTTTTAAATATCATTTAAAAAACAAGTAGATATACGAATTTACATTAATTTTATATTTTTTCGATGTTATTTTTGTAACTAACTGATCTATTAAACAAATTATTAAAAATAAATACTTCCCGAGATAATGAGTTTATTCACATTCAAACAATTCAAACATTAAGTAATTTAATTCAAGTAGATATTTTGTTTGAAAAATAGGTATTGTGTATATCATAGATAGAGCGAGAAATGTCCGTATTATTATTTGACCCGTGTTTGATTTTAGTGATCTTATTTTTAGCACTTAACAATTTAGCATTTTTGGGCAATTTTTAAAATCTAATCATATTCAATCTCTAAAGAAAATCGGCAAAGTAGTGTTTATTCCTTGAAAATTCCTTTAAACTGAATTCGAAATATAATAACAATTTTCATGATAATGATGAGTATATGTTAAGTTAAGATGATTTGAACAACATAGTATTGCACATATTAAGAAAATTGTACTATAACGTTACCTTGCATGTTTGTTTATCTTGATTAATTTTTTTTCCGCCATCTTTACGATAAAAGGTAATTTTTTTCATCAAAACCTAAACAAAATCAATGTGAATAATCATTAGGAGTTTATAATTCATTCGAAGGAGTTTATATACGCAAGATTGAAGGAGTGGGTGATTTTCAGCTTATACTTGTTATTGGCCGTGGACCTTGCAATTGTAATGAAATTGGGTCGCGAAATAATATTTATTCAACTCATATTTCTATTATGGAAATGTATGATGTAAATAACAGTATCAGTATATTGACTGTAATAGTATGTTTAACAATATTAATATTCCTGTTACGGTTAGAGTAGAATCTATAACATATTTGGTACAACAATGAATTGTTCTCTCTTAAATTTGTTGAATACAATAATCTTATAATTAGATTATATTGCAAATAGAGTATTCAATATTTATTGACAATAACTTTTCTTGCGATATTAATGATTTTATGGTTATAGAAATTATATCAATTTATGATATGAGAATATATTTTAAGTGGCACGTTACCAAATGTTCATATTTGCCGACGAAGATGTTACTCAACGGGTTAGCATTCGTGAAGCTTTTTCACTCGGTTATTGTAGAGTTCGTGTTGTGCAGCGAAGAAGTGGAAAAACAATCTTCGGTCTTACCGTTCGATATCGAGGAATAGATTAAGCTTTTACTGAACTAATGATTATTATTTGATTACCTAACACAGAGCGTTCAGTTTTCAATAATAGTTAATTTGTGATACGCACTATCCTAGGTGTGATCGTAATGGAGAGATACAGAGGTAGTGGTCTGAAATTGGTTCCTTGTTGAATGACAGCCTATCGAATATGCTGGCGTAGATTTTCGATAACACTACAAACATTATATGTTTACATAAGCATTTTGACCTAAATTTATAATGAAAGGTTCAGTTTTGGACGTCAGAATACCTTAAGTATATTCTTTAAGAAAAAAAGTTTAATATAGTACTTGTTATCCTGTTTTTCCTATTGTTTTCTTGGATTTTTTAATTTGTTAGTAAAACTCCTGAGAAAATTAAAAAAATGACTACTTTCAGTATCTCCCAAGTCCGAATTGCTTTCAGATGAGGTGCTACAATTCAATATCGGAGAATGAATTGAGGTATAAAAGCTGTACACAGAAAAAAAAAACATCTTTGTAAAACCATAAGCTACTTTGCTTCACTCAGAATCTAAAAGAAGTAGAAAAAGCTGTTTATATTTTATAATTTCCAAATTCGTATTACGATCGTATAGGGTAAAATGATCAAATTTTTCAAATGGAATATTCTACTTAATTAATACAATTAGGTACTAATATAATATTAACATCTTACTTTCCAATAGCTTGGTTTTTGATTAAATATTTTTTCTTGTGCGGTTTCTGTAGTAAAGTTTTTCGTAATAATTTGATTTGTTGATTTTTTGACGCAAAAACAAATTATAAAGAATAAAATAACGAACTTATACATAGTTGTATACGTATGTCAGAACAAAATAAATACTAGTGGAAATCCTGCAACTATTAAAAATTTACAAACTAGGGTTCAATGTAAAACCTGTGTTTTGAAACATTAAAGTAGCAAATGAAAAAAATTTATTTTTTTTTTTATAAAAGTCCCCAATTAAAGTGTTTCACAGTTCCCAAATCGCTTACTGTCATAAATAGTACCAACAATATGACTATTATTTGTGATGTTATATAACAAGCTATTTGTAATTTTGCATTGAAAATTGTGTGTGTTTACGAATGAGAACACAAATTGCAAACAGATGTTTTTTTTTTATCTTAACTTGTTTTATAAATTATTCAACTTAATTGTACAGACAGTCTCATACACAAATTACTGTGTATATAAATAACAAATGTTCTAGTTA